TAAAGAACAATAAAAACTTGCATCGAATGAACTATGAACTGCAGAATCTTGACAAGATTCCGTCAGAATATCAGAAATTGTATGCATACTTACAAAAACAGATTTTCTTTTCCAAATTTTTCAACGAGCAAAATGTTGGAAGGGATACAGGTATGGGTATAGTTGTGGCTAAGCTGAAGATTAACACTAGTACTCACATCCACACCTATTTAATAGAGACAATAGCACTGTAGACAACCTAGAATATCGAGTGAAAGCATGCGATTTTTTTCGAATAAATTTTGCTTATCTTATTTTTCCACTGCTTAAAAAGCTTGAAAATATGCTCATTCGATGACATAGTTAGACAACTGTTTAGCCTACGAATGCACACATTAACAAGAATCGCTTTGCCTACTGCCTGAAAAGCATCAACTATCGTTAGTTTTTTCCTTTATGACAAAGCTTTGTGTCACTTTAGTTGTCATATTATGAAGAAGAAAAGTAGCATATTCGTTTTATTCTCTAGCTAGATATTATGGAACAATTACATTTCAATATCGATGACTTATAAGTGAGAATCAATGTAAGTTTCAATGAGAATTTTTCCATATGGCTTATCAGTTGTCCTAGACTTCTTCAAGATCGTTTTAGGCATTAGTAGAATATTCATGCTTCAGTTACAACTAACTTTCGACTAGTATTCAGCGTGACTGCTTCAATTCACGGTAATCTCGGCTACGATCACAATCACAAATATTGAAATAATCACCTAGTCTATGCCTGTATTAACTACATTATTTTTTCACAACACAATTAATTTAAAACCCTTAAACTGTTGTTATAATATATAAATTTTGACTTAATAAAAATAGCTACATTTAGATACTACAAGAAAAATTAGAACTTAGGAATATTTAACATAGTTCTGGGACAAATTGAAATCGTCAATAAGAGTGAGATAATATTTTAAATTGTTTTACAGAAATTTAAAATTTGGTGAATTGCAATTTCGCTTATGATTAGAAGGTTTTAGTTGGGTGTGGATGTGGGTGTTGGTGTGCCTGTGGGTATGCAGGCAACTGCTCTCCTAACTGACACCCGCATTCCTAAATCTTAGCAATCATGATACAAAATCTGATCATGCCAGACACTATTTAGGATTATTCACAATGGAGATTCATCGTTAGAGGATACATTTCAGTAACATTTATTTATCAAAACGAAAAATTTAGTGTCCTATACAAGTGCAAAACCAACAACTGTAAGAATGATGAAAAAAACACACAATTTAGTGTTACCATAAAATGTTCAAAAAATTCTATTGGTTATATTTGCCAAAACAATCCTCTAACGACAAATTTGATTTGTAAATGGTTCATAAATTACTTGTATTTTGAATAGAAACATACTACAACTGCTTAAACCGATGGTCTAAAAACTTCATGACAGTTAAAGGCTTTCAAAAACATCGATTTTGAAGAAAGCTCAGATAACTAATGAGCAATATGAAAATGTTTTAGTGAAAATTACATTGATTTTCACTTATGAATATTGAATACTAAGGCATGTTTGTTCGAGAATACCTAGCTAGAGACAAAAAACGAATACGTTACTCTTTTTCTTCATAATACAATAAGTAAAATGACATAAAATTCTAGCATAATGGATGAAGTTAACGATGGCTAATGCTTTTAGGTAGTAATGGAATCGATTTATATTTATGTGTAAGGTGGTATGTTCAAGAGATCTCCGACTATGTCATGCCGTCACCTGTTTCCAAGCTTCTTAAGCAATGGAAAATATAAGAAAGATAAAATTAACTCCAAACAACTTGAATGCTTTTATTTCATATGCATAGAGAAGAATTGGTTACTTCTAAATTGTTTCGGAAATAAGAATAAAGGATACCAGATACATTTTGTAAAGACAAAAAAACGACTGTTGGTTATACGCATATTCGTTCGAATTCATAGTTTAACTTTTCAAAGCAACATATCGATAAGTGAAAAATATAATCTACTCGAATCTTTGCATTTTGTCAATTAGTCAAGAATCTCTAACTTCTATCAATATATTGAATCCGAAATAAAGTTAATTTTCATAAGTCTCAGCCGATAGCCAATAATGACTGATCTCAAAATTATTTCATTCGTGTTTTTAGTCTTAGCAAATCATTTCAAATAGGCCAAACTATCAACATTTTCTATGAGACCATTTGAATTCTTATTATCTAAAAGGAATAAAATCTAACAGAAGGCTCTCCTGAAGCATGGATCTGCTTGAATCTAACAATATAGAATGTGGGTGTCAGTATAAGTAAAGACAAGACGCATAAATGTGAACCTATCATGTCTCATAAATCGTTGAAATCGTAATCCCAATTGAAATTTGAATTTCTCCGATATATAGATCACTGACATAAAAGTACATGTATGAAGTATACGTATTCGAATCATCGAATTGAATTGAATGTACTTACGTTGAGCAGATGGGCGCAGCATTGACGGCATATGTAAAAATATTACAAAGTCAGATGCAGATAATATAAAAACGGTGAGTTAACAAATGTTTGTCTGATTTCTTTTTACAACTATCCGGGTGTGGATGGTTGTCTGTATTTTCGTGTTTACACAGAAATGCATCAATATTCATAGCAAAAGCTATCCAAAGACCTACTTTCAGTTACATTTGCACTCGTGCCTATAGCTTTATTTTTTCGTATAGGTTAATATTACTTACAATTTCATCGGCAAGAAAAGTTAGAAAAAGAACTTTATTCTTATAGTTACGGAGCGAGACGCAAAAAATTCATCGCTCTCGCTTGTGAAAAACTCATCAGAAGATAATAATAACTAACACCGAATTCGAAAGTTCAACATAGTTATAATTCTCCTACTAGATTCCTAAGGAGGCTCCCTAAATTCTTCAAATTTTTGGAGGGACTCCTTGGGAGCTGTTTTATGAATAAATGACTACAGATGATTATCGATTAGTTTTTAAAAGACTGTAGATGCATCCCAATTTTTTACAAAAGTCGGCAAAAGTGTCAGTTTACATAATTCAGTCTTCCTGATAAATCGCCGACTTTTGAGCGATTCTAGTAACATAGCAACTTTCACTAAATCTTAAAGGGCTAGTCAATGATGGCATTTTATTCCGTTCATCTTAAATAAAATGAGTTCTCACTCAAAACATGGAGCACTACGAAAAGCACCAAAGAATTAGGGTAAGACGCTTTAAAAAATGATTTTTTTTCGCAAACTTCAATCGCAAAAATGTTTTGGTAAAAGCTCATCATTTGGATCCAATATCATCCTCCATCAATTTCATCTGTGTTCCATGTTCTTAAACTGAGATACAAAATACTTGAAAATCCTCGATCCACTACTGGTTCAACTCGAGTGTCAAAAACTTCGTTTGGTTCGTTTTTGGGCTGTGCTTCCGCCAGAATACCAGAAATCAGACGCATACTTGCAAAAAAAGAATTCTTTTCCAAACTTTTCAATATGCAATCAGTAAATTTTCAAGAACAAGCGTTTCTCATCCTCAGATGACAAAACACCGATCCTGGATGGATTGTTGATACGATAATATTAGAATTCACCAAAGATTAGATCGAATTTTATGTAGAAAGGATGACTGTAACATGAATTCAAAAAAGATTTTAGCAAGACCTTGATCGTAATCTTCATAGCAGAATTCAATCGAAATGCATGGCCACATTAATGTAAGATCTTAGCAAGATAGTAATATGCTTCGACAGAATTCCAAGCTTCTAAATCTTCGTATGATATCATGAGATCCTCACGAATTTGATTTATGCCTACACTTAGAACCTTCACGACAACATTTCACAAAATATTTTGATGGCTTTCAAGAATAAGGGTGTGGGGTGTGGGGTGTGGGTGTGGGTTTGAGTAGTGTTAAAGATGAAAATCATAACCACAGTCACAACCACAGGCACACTCACACCCACACCCACGCCCACACCCACACCCACATACCCACACTCACACCCCACCCACATTTATGTATATTTATCGTACTTCACTTTTTCGTGTAGACATTTTTTGCTTGTGATACTTTTTGGCTGTGCAATACATGCATATATATAAATGCTATTTACATTTGGTGAAAATATCTAGGCGAGACGGGACAGGCCACAGTCTTTGAACCACTCTCGGCGGGCCTTATCGGGACAGTTTTTGATCGTCCCGCCGGCCTTTGATAGTGACTGATTTTCTCAGAAACTTACTGCTAAATGGTAGCAAAAAATAAATAGCATTTTTCTTGTCTGAAAAAAGAAGATTATGACTTCTGAATGTTATTTCAGTTTTGTTTGTATCCCTTTTATGTGATGCATGCACCAAAGGTAGCAAGATATGTGTGCAAAGAACAACTTATATGAGAATGATAAGGAATAACAGAAAAGGGTATTAAAAAAATGTGATAAAGCAAGCTTTATGTTTGAAAGAACAACTCATAAGACTACAATCTTCACAAAGTGTCATCTGAAATTCAAAAGATAACAAAAATACGAAGCAAGTTTATTCTGATGACGACAGATCAATTTCCTGTATTAATTGGCGTGAGTATGTATACGTTAAAATTTAACAATGCTTGCATTTTCATTATAAAAACAAGAAGATGTAGGTAAAGAGAGAGTGGGAATGGATCGATATAGGTATAGGTTTTTGAGGATCTAGATGAATCGAAAATCCACAGCAACAACTGCAAAGAGTTTATTCTAATAAGAATATATTCTAGGTGAACAAAGACAATCATCGCGATTGGACTGGGCTGAATCATCTTGGACAAGATGGTTACAGATACCACTATTTACATGGATAACACCTATTCTCTCCTTGAGTAATAAACGCACACTTGTGGAAAACGATCTTGACGATCTTTCTATTCATGATAAATGTTCAGTCTTGTTGAACAGAGTGGATCAGTATAGTTCTGGATGGCCAGGTACATGGCATGTAATCAAGCGAACATTTTATAAAGATTTTCTAATGAGCATATTGCTTGTTTTTCCACTTGTCATGGCTCATATTGCACAGCCATTGCTTATTCGCCAAATTGTTCTATACATTAAAGCTCAATCAGGATTACCAGTTTACGCTGCTTATCTATTTGCTATTGCTCTTTGCATTTCTGCCATGGTACAAGCCATTGTTCCTCAACAAATCTTCTTTCAAAATCGTCGCATAGGTATGCGAGTTCACAATGCTTTGTCATCTGCCATCTATAAACACTTGTTGGCAATCAATACAACAGCTCTTCGCAAGACAACTGCTGCTCAGATTATCAATTTAGTCGCAAATGATGTCGGTAAATTTGAAGAATTGAGCGTGTTCGTGCATAATTCGGTGTTGGTACCTGTGGAAGTTCTTGTAACGTTTGGTCTCGTTTGGTGGTACATCGGTTTACCGACATTATTCGGCTATGCAGTACTGATTTTATTAGTACCTATACAATTCATGTTCAGTAGACAATTCAGCCGATACCGCAAGACCACAATGGCATGCACAGACAAGCGTGTACAAACGATCAATGAACTTGTAAGTGGATGCCAAATTATTAAAATGTACAATTGGGAAAAAGCTATGGAACAACGAGTATGTGAAGCACGTCGACGTGAACTTTCAAACATTTACAAAGCGAGCTGCTTGAGAGCTCTCAATACTACTATCTCCTTCACAACATTACCTTTGATTTCTCTTGCTACATTCGGTGGTAGTTGGCTAATGGGCCGAACTTTGCTTTCAGAAGATATATTCTCTACACTAGCTTTCTTCGTCATGATCCGAGCTCCAGTGACAATGGCAATGCCGAACGCGATCGAAAAATTGAGTGAGGCTAATGTTTCTGCAAGAAGAATCGATCAATTCATGCAACTCGACATGTTGTCGAATAAACGTGAAAAAGCGAAAAACGAAAACGGGTATCATGTAATCATAATGGAAGATGCATCATTTTCATGGAAAGATACTCCTTCTTTATTCTCTCTCAATCTGAAAATCAAAAGCGGGAACTTAGTTGGAGTGAAAGGTTCGATCGGTGCTGGCAAGTCAACCCTACTAGCTGCTATTCTTGGTGAGATCAATCTTGTTAGTGGAAAACTACGACTTCATGTTAATTCAATTTCGTACGCTCCACAATCGGCGTGGATATTTGCTGACACTATTCGAGCTAATATTCTTCTTGGCAAAGTGATGGATGAAGAACGTTACAAGATTATAATAAAGGCATGTTGTCTTGATGTTGATCTACAGAATTTCGGTGAAGTCGGCGATTTATCAATGATTAGTGATAAAGGTGTCAATTTGAGTGGCGGACAAAAAGCTCGTATATCTCTCGCTCGTGCTTTGTACGCTGATGCTGACTTATATTTACTCGATGATCCACTTGCTGCCGTTGATCCAAAGGTGGCAAAGAACATTTTCGATCGATGCATTGGTCCGCATAGTCTCCTTCGTGGAAAGACTCGAATATTGGTTACACATCAGACACATTTTTTAGTTGAAGCAGACCAAATGATTCTCATGACATATGGGCACATCGAAGAATTACAGATTGAACAACGACCTACAATAGAACCATCAACTGATGTATTAGAAACAGAGTTATCTGACGATAAGGAGACAGATTGGGTACTTAACACTACTGTAACTGATATGAATTCGATCGTCAAGAATGAGACATCAGTTGACGGTGCCATCAAGTGGAATGTTTGGCTAAAACTGTTTACTTCACCACCTTTACGGTGGTTCGGTTTTCTTCTAATGATTATTTTTATGTTCGTTAATGAAGCTTCGTACGACTTTGCAAATACTTGGCTCGCTCTATGGTCTGATAAAGATGAAAGAGAACAACGATCATCATTTTATGCTTACGTCTATCTCGGAGCTATATGTTCTATATTAATCATTTCAATAATACGTGTTGCCTATATCTACTATGTTATGTTGTGTGGTTCGACCTATTTTCACAATCAAATGCTCAAAGGTATCTTGTATACTTCGTTACGTTTCTTTGAAAGTAATCCAAGTGGACGAATCTTGAATCGAGCAAGCAAAGATCAACAAGTATTAGATCAATCGTTACCTTTGGCTTTAATTGATACGATGCAATATCTACTGCTGACTCTTGGTTCTATCACAATCATTGGGAGGAGTAACCCCTGGGTACTTCTAATTCTCATTCCTTTGGTTCCCTCAGTTGTGTGGCTCCGTCGATTTTACATGCATTCGAGTCGTCAACTCAAACGACTCGAAAGTATAACACGTAGTCCTATTTATACATTGTTCTCATCATCATTAGACGGACTCACTAGTATTCGTGCGTTTGACGTTCAAGAGGATTTTTTAAATATGTTTATCGAAAGAACTGATGCCAATTCACGAGCTTACTTCATTCTGTCTTCCACTGCACATTGGTTCGGTATACGACTCGATCTTATGGCATCCTTACTCACGTTAGTTACTGCTGTTCTTGCAGTAGCTTTACGCCATCAAATTGATCCGTCAACAGCAGCACTTAGTATCACATATTGCATCACTTTAACAGGTCTCTTTCAATGGGCTATACGACAATCAGCCGAAGCTGAAAATTTCATGACTAGTGCAGAACGTATTCATGAATATGGTCAACTAGTGCCAGAAAGCCAACAGACCAGCAACGAGAGCAATATTCTCATTCAACCAGCAGAGGATTGGCCGTCTCGTGGTATTATCGAATTTAAAGACTACACTTTTCGCTATCGTCCAGAGCTTGATCCTGTACTCAAAAATCTTAATCTACGAATTGAGTCCAAAGAAAAGATTGGTATTATTGGTCGGACAGGTATAATTACCTCAATTTTGAAGATATAAATGAGAAGTATTCTTAACGAGAAGGCTGCAAATTGGCCAAAAATGGATAACTATAGAAAGGAAATAAATAGTGCTACTAAAGTTTTCTCCTATTCCAGAAAAAAAAACTTCAAAGGTTGAAAGCAGTAGTCTTATGTTTACATTTCTTATTACGGAATGAATGAAAAATAGTTAATCGAATAGAAAGTGCATTTGGGATGTGTTATTGAAGTGATCCATTGATGAGGGACTCTATTTTGCGAATGGAGACACAAAACATGAAGTATTGTGATGTGTGATAAAATCATTTTGACGAAATTTATTGATCCCTATCTGTTTTCGGTCTAGGCGCAGGAAAATCATCACTTCTTCACGCTCTCTTTCGACTTGTCGATCAGTCAGCAATCAACGGAACTATACTCATTGACGACATCGATATTGGACGACTTTCACTCGATCATCTTCGTTCTCATCTAAGTGTTATTCCACAAGTACCCGTACTCTTCTCTGGTACACTTCGATACAATATAGACCCATTTCATCAATTCTCAGATGAAGAATGTCTTAGAGTACTCGAAGCTGTTCAACTCAAACAATTGGTGCGCAACCATCCTGATGGACTTCATTTGTTAGTGGCTGAATCGGGTACGAATTTGAGTGCTGGTGAACGCCAGCTGATTTGTGTAGCTCGAGCCATTCTAAAGAAGAGTCACATATTGCTGATTGATGAGGCTACAGCAAATGTTGACCATGCTACCGATATGTTGATTCAAGAGGTGATTGCTGACAAGTTTCGTGATCGCACCATATTGACGATTGCACATCGGTTTAATACAGTTGAAAATAGTGATCGTATTATTATGTTACAACAGGGAGAGATGGCCTACTTCGAAGTGCCTACTAATATTAATCTAAATTAATGCGATCGTGCAAGAACATGTACCTCTATTAGCTATATATGATTGACTATTGTCTTGAACGAGAGTTATTCTTTGAGACATTTTACCTTTTCTTGATCGAAACAGCATCATTAAGGTAAGCATTCATCTAGGCATTTTTGCTTCAATTTGAATAGGTCGTTGCTTTGATATAAAAAGAATCTTTCAGACACAAAATAAAAGATTTACGTTCGTTTGTACGGTAAAGACCTTTTAATATAAATAAGAGAATAATAGACACCGTTTTTATCATTTTATTATTTTATAAAAATAAGAGACGTTTCGTTGTGAACTCATCACATCATCAGTCAAGAAATACAATGGCAGAACAGGATAAGAAAGAATATATAGGTAAATAATACAAAGAGAGTAAAGGAACAAAGAACAAAGACACACATTAAAAGAAAAAGGTTTGATGTGGGTGTTGGTGTGGTTTGGATGGGTGTGGGTGTGGTGTGGGTGGGTGTGAAGTGTGGGGTATGGGTGGGTGCGGGTGTGAGTGACTATGTAAGTGTGGTTGTGGGTGGGTGTGGTGTGGGTGTGAGGTGTGGGGTATGGGTGGGTGTGGGTGTGAGTGACTATGTGAGTGTGGTTGTGGGTGGGTGCGGCTATGGGTAGGTGTGTGGGTGGGCGTGAATGTGGGTGGGTATGGGTTGTGTGTCTTGGTTTCATTTATACCGACAGCCACACACCCGCACCCACACCCTTACGATAAACCCTCGACATGTGATATCTCATCAGTGCGACAGAACCGTTTTTGTTACAAATTAAAAATGGGTTATTGTAGTTTTCACGGAACCCATTTTCAGTCAGAACCCATAAAAGGTTCTGCAAAACTGCTTTTTTTTCTTTCAGAGTGAAATATTCAAGAAACAAAAAATACTTATTTAATCTGGCCCATCTATTATTATAAAAAGAAAGTAAAAGTTAGAAGATCCATTAGAATTTTATCGGATAAGATGTGAAGAAAAATATTAATGATAATACATGAACAAGATGTTTGTTTATCACTTTCTTGATTTCACTAGTCAAAGAAATGATCGTATTACAACCAGAAAGTGTAACCATCATATAGGCTGAAAGATTCCTAGAAAATACTAA